TACAGATGTTATAAATATAAAACAGATAGTATAAAAACATGCATTGAAATATTTAAAAGATGTATTGGAAGCAAAAGAGAAATTAATTGTTTAAGTTTACTAACATTTGAGCTGCCTACAAACATTAGACTGGCGCGGGCTCTTCATGTATGATCTGGCCGCTGAACAGTTTTAGATGGAAAAATCTATTTAGCAACATGCAACCCAATGTGAGATTGCATATTTGTGCCTATGGAGGAGAGGAAGTCAGGAGAACTAAGGCCTCACTCCATCTCTGCTCTGGCGGTCTATCATCAAAGTGGAGGGGAACGTGGCTTCAGATAAGTATCACTTTCTTTAGCACCTAGACGAAAACAAGCACTTAACCCTGGCAGTGCGGGGGTAGCCACACTGCAAGGGTTAATAAAAGTTCTGCGGGGAGTTATTCTTCCTGATAATTCCATATGAGTGCAACACAGAAAGGTTCATTTATAAAAGTACACCCAGCTATCATTTGCATGGCACTAACACTCCCTAATAAGCGCTGACCAGTATAGGAATTCCTATACTCGTCAGCACCATCTAGGGGCACTACTGTTATGTGAACGGCAGCCTCCTGGTGTATAGCTGATGAATGAAGCAGTGGCGGACCTTAGGAACAATGAGCCCTGGTGCAAGATTTTTTTTGGGCCCCCCCCCCAGCTCTCACAATGCCCGCACTGCCCACCCATAGCCGTTACCATTCTGCATTTCTGTATAGAGGACTACAACTCCCAGCAATACTTTATTTATAAAAAGCAGAATGGTAATGGCTATAGAGGACTACAACTCCCAGCAATACTTTATACAGAAATGCAGAATGGTAACTGCTATAAAGGACTACAACTTCCAGCAATACTCTTTACAGAAATGCAGAATAATTCCATCAGTTATAGAGGGCTACAAAAAACATGTCACAGAACGTAGGCACATACAGAAGATAAAAACATCACCTCATCTCCTCCTCGCAACATCATGTAGCAGGGAGAGGCGGTGGGCTGTGTAATTAGGAAGCTGCTTGCTGGGTCCTCCCAGCCGAGGCCCCAGCGATGCCTCGTCGTGTGCTTGAAGGCTGCTCTGCCTCGCTTCGCCTCACTGCCGGGCTAGGCTCAGGCCCTGGGGCAGCCGCACCGGCTGCACTGGCGGTAGATCTGCCCCTGGAATGAAGCCTATAGTATAGCTCTCAGTGATCCTACTGCAGATCCAGGAGGACCTCTGGACCAGGGCATTAGGCTACACCTTCATAAATGAAGATCAAATGGATATGTAGCTCACAATAAAACCTAATCTGTTTTTTTTGTGAAGTACTTTACCAGTTTTAATTCAGACACAGATTTTTTTTTTGTTGGCTGTATACCTGAGTAATTACTTGTTAGACTAGCATAGGACA